TCGACTTGACATTACCCATCACTACTTTCTTACATGTCACTCCATGATGTTGCGGTTTCCACCATTTCCCAATAACACCACTACGTCTGTATTGTAACGTTAAAATCAAATATCTCGTAACTAAAATTTGGAAGTATAATATCATTCTCTAACTTCAAAATACTTAAAAACAGTGGCGTGTATGCCAAACTTCCCATTTTAGCTTCAAAAAGTACCTCGGTATTCTTCTCGAATACCACAATTTGTGGCATATCAATTTGCACGACATTGAAATTTGTGTATTTCTGAACATCCAAAAAGAATTTGTTGTTGTAAAGTTTGTTATTGTGCAACACACTTACTTTATTTGCACAATCTTGACACGCAAAATACTGTAGTCTTTCGTCGTTAAAAATTAATTGATTTCCAGTGTAATTAACAATTGAAAATTTGATTGGTTTACATTCCTTCATTTCGATATTCCCCGATACATTTTGTATGTCCACCTTTTCAATTTTTCTTGGAAAAACAAGACTATCAAACAGGGCATTTGTTAAAGTAATTTCTTTAATTAAATCTAAATTGATAAGATCAATTATCTTTGGTACTTCATTTACTTTCCAATTTATTTCTTGGGGTTGGTAATTAACAAAATTATTAATTTTTGGCACACAAATAGTTAAAATTTCATGCAACGTTTTGTTCATGACGTCAGCAATTAATTGAGAACTTGTTGTTGAGTCTGAAATGATGTAGATCGGGTAAACATATCGACCACCAAATATTTCATTATTGTTACAAAATTGTGGGATGTAGTCCCAACATTCTGTCTCTTTAGAAATGTACTGCACATAGATTTGGACATTTGGAGGACAACGTTTAAAATTTTCCAAATTAGGTTGTTGGAATAAAAACATCGAAAAGGCCATGACAAACACATAAGTAGTCTTATAGTGCTTTTTGAAGTCGAATTCATTAAATTGTGAAATTGCATCACTATTACCGTATATATACACCTTCTTAAGTGTATTCAAACTCACTACTTTTAGCATTGTAAGAGGGTTTATTATCGAACTGTAATCAATTATTAAAAATTGAAGTTGCTCATATTGATCGATGTTTTTTGCAATAGCTTCAATTTGCTGAGACTGAATTCGAAGTGTTCTGACTTTTGGAGGAAACCATTTTGTCTTTAATGTGTTAATTAATGTTTTAGGATTTGTATTAGTTCCCACTTCTATAAGGGGAATATCATTACTCGAAAGTTTTTTCAGGTTATTTGAGAAAGATGAGAAATAAAGAGTTTGCAATTTGGGGAAAAATCGTAAAATGTCTTCAATAGAAGATGTCATAGAAGCTTTGTATGTGTTAATATACATCGTCTGGACAGCTGTTAAAGAGGATTTGTTGATGAACATGAAGTTGAATACATCTTTCATTGTTTCTAAATAGAGAATTACATTTTTCATAAATACTTGTTCAAGATGTACCATCGTCTTTGTATGTATTTTTATAGATCTTTTGATTTGGTTCAATTTTTTATTTTTTCAATTTGATTTTTAGAACAGAACTAAAAAATATTTCAAATTCATAGATGTTGATAAAAAATATTTTTACAAAAAAACTTAAAACTTAATAAAAATAATGGAACGTGAACGTGTTAACACAGTAATTTAAATTAAATTTAAAAACAGCTATTGACATTTTAAATAACGTTTTAGTTTTAAAAACGACCAGCTTTTATTTGGGTTTATTGTTAATATATAATAATTTCATTTTTGGCTAGTGTATTTTTAAATACTAAATAAAGATTTAAAAATTTAAAAAATATTATACAAACTCCTTATTTCCAGTTTTTAGATGATTTGATTTTAGTTTTATGTTATTTGAAATGTCAATAAAAAGATATTTATTCTAATACATAATGTTGTTCATATTTAAAAAAACCGTCTCGATATTTTGGTGTTTATATCATTATTATATATAATGATTTGGTCTTATCTAAAGTATATTAATGCTTTATTTTTTTTATTACAGAATTTAAATATAAAAAAAAGTTTGTGTTTTATTAAAAAAATAAAAGTTGAGAACTCTGAACAATTGTCATTGATAAGATAAAATATTTGTTAATAATTTAAATAATAATGTTTATGTTTGAATTTAAACATATCCAACATAATTTAATTATTTTTTGTACTTTTTGTTATCAAGAATTACTATAAATAAGTGGGTTTTAATTGTAAAAAACAATTCACTTGCAATTTACATCGTATACACGAGGTTTATTAAGAATAATACTTGGCAACTATTTTTATTGATTTATTTAATTTAAAAGTTGTACTCAAACACAATAATTGGATTTTTAGATCAAAACATGGTGTATAAAAAAATAAACTCGTTTTCAACTGTTAACTATTCACTGATCTATATTTTTATGATAAAGTGTTATTTGATTTCATATTAAAAATTCAAAACATGATATTTATATATCCACATAATATAAATTATTATTAACAAAACAAAATGTTAAACTTAATAATGTAAAAGTAATTTTTCACATTCATGATATTTTGGTATATATTTATGTGAAAATATTTAAAATTTTCAAATAATCAAATAAAAATATAACAATTGAAAGTTTATTAATTATTTAACTTGTAACCCAAACATTTTAAATCAATTTCATTATTTATAATAAATTTCTTATAGTTTGAAAATAAACAAATAAATACAATTAAATTCGTATATCAAATTGTATATATATATTTATTTTGATTATTTTACAATAAACCAGTAATTGCCAAATCGGTAATTTTTAAGTTTTGTTTCCAAATTAACTAGTTTTAAAAAACACATATATCAAAAGACATTCCAACTGTTTTTATTTGTAAAAAACAATTATGTTTATACATTTTTAAATTAAAAATAAACAAGATAACAACGTTGATTTAAAAACATGTTTAATCGATTGATTTCTTGTTATAATCAATATTATCATCGACATTGTAATTTGGAGATGGAGTCTCTCCAGTTGCATATGCCTTGTTTCTGTTGATTTTGGTTTTGTCGCCTAAGCAGTGTACTAAGACGCCATTAACACAAGTATTGCACGTTAACAATTCTTCTGTTTTGAAGCAGTATCCTCCACAGTCTGGTGCTGGCATTAGACACTTACCCAACTTTAAGACGCCACTATTATTGAAAATCATATACTGGTACGAGATTTGGTTTTCAATATGGCATTCGTCGTTATAATACATCCCATTGATTTTATCCCCAAGTTCACACCCTTTGTTTTTATCACTCACAAAAGCAATGTTTCTGACATTGTAATCGAGGTTGAAATAACTGTGGCAGTTAGAAGACGTTTTTGGCGTTCCAGTACAATCTGGTGTTGTGTAAGTGTAATTGGTAAAACAAAAAAGATTGAATTTTTGACTGACTCCATCGTAAGTTACTTTCTTTGATCCATCCCCAGTTCGAATACATTTATTATCTTCATATATCCAATTTCTTGGGAAAACTATACAATCAGTTGGAACGGCTTCATACAACTTCTTTGTTGTGGAGCCAAAAGAAGTAGCAAATATAAAGAATGTGATAATAAACATTTTGTTTGAATGTATTTTTTAGTCGTAAGTAGCTTTTTATTTTTATTGATTTCTAATTAAAGACGCACATAACTATATTTAATAAATACTTAAATTTGGTTTATGATATATTTTTAGATTAATTGTTATAGTTAATAAATATAATATAATAAATTCTAAGTTCAATGTATCCAAATAACAATGTGGCGATTTTTAGGGTTTATTTATACATTTTTATCATCAAAATAACACCCCGGTTTGCATTATTATTTTTGATAAAAACAAATTAAAATTATTAGTCTAAATGGTTAATTCAATTTGATTAACTTTAATCAAAACAAAACTTTCTAAAATGTTATTGAATTAATTATTTTCATTTATGAATAATTATTATCCATGACAAAGAAAACAAATACAATTCAATTCATTGATTATTAAATCAATTATAATAATGTTTTATATATATAGTCTGTCTTTAAAGTTGTGTATTTATTAAACTTGTTATGTTGACAAAAATACAAATTTATTTCAATCAACTTTAATTAAAAAAACTATAAACTGGTTAATTTAATAATTAATATTTTGAAGTACTTATATTCGTTTTATTATAGTGGGTTAAATAACACAAAAATTAAATCATATTAGACAACATTGTGAAATTGTTTTTTTTCTAATAAATTTATAAATTCAAATAAAAAAACAACTGAATATATTTAAAGAAATAGAATGTTTTGTTTTTATTGCAAAAATTAACACAATAAAAAAGTATATATAAACTTGGGCCATAAAGTCCGACACGTTATAACAGTATTTTTTCTTATGTTTTTCGGGATATTAATATATTTTGTCGAAATTTATACCTGTTTTACTTATCATTATTTTCCCTTATTTCGATTTTTTGCGTCTTATTTTTTGATTTTTAATTTTCTACTTACACTGCAATTTCCTTATTTCAAAATCATGAAATATTTTGGTTTATAAAACATGAAAAATTAATTTCATACCCAAATTTTATACAAAAATCGCAAATTTAATCAATACTATAACATTTAAAAAATGAAAATAAAATTATTTTTTTTCAATTCGTTTATTTTTTACAATAACAACGAAAAACACGACTTAATTATAACTTTATAATTAAATTAAACTAAAAAGTGTATCAAAATTTTATATGGAAACACATGAAATTAATTAAAACACCACAAGTAACAAAAAATTTTTATTTTCTTTATGTTGAAAATATTAAAATATTAATTATAAAAATGTAAATATATAATAAATGATTAATTTTGTTTTTATAGATGAAATATAGGTGATTCGAAATATTAATTGGAATAAAAATACTTTTTTATATTATAATAAAAATTAACAATTATCACTTGTTTTTATTTGACTTTTATAATATTTAATCATTTCATTAATAATTTATTATAGAATTTGTTTAATAATGATATGATTAAACAAAGCAAATTACATTATTGTTTCATTGACAGAAATATATAACAATAATGACATTTGTAAATGAAACATTTTTTATAAATTATTGTGATTATAATAAAATGTATTATAAATATTGTTTTGTTAACAACAATTATAATCAAAAATTCATATTTTTGTTAATGCTAAAAAACTATTTTTACATATCAAAACAAAATAGTTACTTTATTTATAATTTGTGAAAACAATGAATGTTTTAATGAACGTTTTTGTGGGATAAACAAAAAAATAATTGAAGAAAAAACACATCAGAAATAATATAAGAATTATAAATGCTTATAACATTTAGCTCATTTCCCGTTTTTCTTGACATAATTCATTAATTATTTCAATAAAAATTTTAAAAAATAGCAGAAAAACAAATCCGAAAGTCCGATACGTCGGACTTTGTGTCCGGAGTTTAGATAATAATTAGAACTTTAAACATCAATGCTTGTTATATTCTTATTTGTTACAACTTCTTTGGGTCGAATTGATTTTGCTTTGGGTGCAGGAAGTGATTGTTATAGTTATGGCGATTTCAGACTTTACAAAAGAGACACGTGCAAAAGAACTGAAACTGGTTCAGTAATCTACACGGCGGACAAGACGGGGATGTATATGATAGAAAAGAAATTTGCTTCAAAAGATTGCTCATGAACACCAGCAATTCAAGATGCAAAATTTGAATATAGCTTTATGATTCCGAAGAGAGTAGACTATGTTGGATTTACAAGTGACAAGAATGAAAATTGTCAATTAAAAGATAGATTGATGGAGTTTACATTCGTCGAGATGTATCATGCACTTGGTTTCTACAAGTACGAAATTGCACTGAAACGGCAAACATTATTTAATGAAAAGATCATACAACACTGTTGACTGTCTTCCAGGAGACTTTGACAATAGCGATACGGAAAAGACGTTGTGTAATGTCTGTGTCAATGGAGTGTTAACTATGTGTTATGGCGTTGATGGTGTTCCAGCTTATGTGGATTTCACAAAAGAGACTGCTGATCAGAGCACTGATATAGAGCCAAGCAAAACCCCCGAAGAAAGCAAAACTCTAGAGCAAAGCAAAACTCCTGAAGAAAATAAAAGTGAAGGAAGCACTACTACCTCAGAGAATGGAGATCAAAATAATAATAACAATGGAGAAGATAACGCTTTCAAAACTCTTGTCTTATTAGTCTTTATCATTGCTACTATGTTTTAATTCAATGAATTTATTTCTTATAGTAACATTTTTATAATTCTATTAACACAACAAAAAATGATAAACGATAAAATTATAATATATAATAAATCATTATTTTATATAACAATTGTATTTTTAAAAATTAAACTTGG